AGAGTTCTCTCTCTGGGCACTCCCTGGGAATAGCATTTGTCTCGATAAATGTATGGAGTGGTGCTCTTAAGACCTTCAGTAGTGACAGGTTGTAATTGTCTTGGCAGAATTTAAGATTTCATACTTTGTGGTCTAAAAGATAATCCAGCTACTGTTGTCTTTTAACTTTGACGAGTGATTTGGTTGTTGTAGTTGAGTTGAAAGTAGCAGTAAAAACAAAAAAGCCAAACAAACATGAGTAAATGGTGCATGTTTTGTTTATTTTTAAAACCTTAAATTTGTTTCCATACAGCTGAGAGTAGAATTAGTGACAGCATTTTAATTCTAAAGCCGTTTTGCACTGTGCACATTATTATTGACTAGTGATTTGTAATGGTAAAAAATGGCACATTTCCACTTTAGCTCTGCCTTGATTAAAATGACACTGCTCTGTAATTTAATGTTCTAAGTAAATCATATTTTAGAATGTAAATTTTGGTTTAAGCAATAGAATTATTACCATAATATCAGAAATTCAGTATTTTTTAGAAGGAGTGTTTTTGGAACATTTGGGTTTTAAATTGACTTTGGAATATGGAAAAATTGGAGCCATGCTTTGTGTTGACCGTCAGCCTGTGGATTTTGAATCTGGACGGGCTTTAATGGATGAAAAGGAAACACATTTTTTGCAGACAGTTGGGCTGTATTTCTGCTGCGGTCTGGATCAGAATTGGGGCTGGGAGGTTAGGGTTACTAGTCTGTTTTTGTTTGACAAGAACAAGCTCTGCAGAACAATGAGCCTGTGGACAGTGGCCGTTGCATAACTACAGTAACACCGAAAGCAAAGGACAGCTTCTCCTCGACGTGTGGAACTGGCACTTTCACAGTCCTTGAACTGATCGTTATTATTTTTTCTTCTTTTAATTTAATTGCTGTGATAAATCTCAATTGCTGAAAACTTTACTGCTACTGTAGAGCTTTGTACTCTATATAAATGGTATTTCAACACCATGTTTTAAGCCTTCTGATGCTTACAAGCTCAAATTTGAGTGAGATTATTTTCTGAACAGTGTATACATGCACAAATAATTGTCCCGTTCTTGGAAAATTAAAAACGGATTATTAGAAAATGCTCGATCTCCACGTTTTGAGATTATTGTACCTGTGCTTATCTGTTGGGCTTAAGGACAAGGATTTAATCAAAAGCCGTTCATGTTCTGTGTACTTTTATTTAGCCACTGGCCTAAAAAGTGTCTTACCAAGCTCTCCAGGAGCTCTAGGACTTGAATTAATAAGACTACTAGATTTATTGATACAACGAATTTTGAGCTTGGAGACAGGAAGTTATTTTAAGCATTTAAAGGCTTTATAAAGCCCTAGATTTGTCTACAAAAAACTTTGGGGAAAAAATGACCTAGAGTTTTAACTAAATGTGGACTGTTTGGCTTCTCTGTGGGTCTGTTCCTGCCTCCTATTGTTTAGTCACTATTTTGTTATGCTCTCACTTAAACCACCAAAGCGACCACCAAAAAGATAGTATAAATCACTCTTTATTGCAATTGCATTTTTAATTGTTGAGATACCCTTTTTTTATTAAGGGGGGAGTGAAGAGGCTCGGTGCAGGACTCCAGTTCTGTAAACTAAGCGTTGCAGGACACATTTCTCTGTGAGGCTCCGAGGAGTAACAAGAGCGATTTGTGTGTGTGTGTACCAAAACTCTGCAGCTAAGTGTGTAGTTTGTGGCCCTGAGTGTAAACCCAAGACCAGGCAGCCTGTTGAAATGTTTTCTTCTTTTTTGGCAGTTGTGTCATAAACAATAGCAGTAAGCAGGCGGCTGTGCGAGTCAGAGGTTTGGAGGGACGGTTTTTTAAAAGCGAAAGCAAGGAAGCCGAGCTCCCTCTGAATATTGGCCCTACACAAAGGTCACAGTTTAGACGAGGGAGAGTGGTCTGCACAGATAAGATGAAAACAAATGGAATACTGTAACTGGCGTGGAACATCTTCAGCAAAATTACACGCACTGCGTCTCGTCCTTGCTGAGTTATTTTTACAGAGCAGCAGAACACGTTGAGTGTGAACGGCAGAGCTCTTCTTTCCAGCAAAAGTACAAAAAAAAAATTGAAATGTGAAAAAATTAAATAAAACCATTTAGTTTTGTGCTGTAAGTATAATCAGTCTAATAAGCCTGAGTGCAGGGTGTGGAAAGGCCTCTGTAAGGTCTACTAAAATAATAAGTTCTGCTTTTTTGCAAAAAGTAAATGGAAACAGATGTGTAATTTTATTTTCTTTTTCATTATTTTTTTTGATGTGCGTATTTAATAGGTTCCTGCTCATATGCTGTAATGTATATTAGCCACATTATGTAAGGAAGTTGTTTAAAAAAAATGCTGATTTTTCGGGGAGCAGAAAATGATGGAAAATATCCAGTGTCTGTTGTATATATTTGAGAATGTCGGAATGTGCACGGAAAATGGAAAAAGATGCAAGATGTGCAGTTCAAACAAACGTGTATTATTGTAGGAATGTTTCGGAATGTAGGATTAATTCCATTCCGGTACAGGTCTACACAGCTAGTGGTACGAACGGGCTTTCCTTGAGTAAATGACTTGGTGGCCGGGGAAGCACAGCACAGTAAAGTGTAAGTAACCTGCCCTGTAAAATTCACTATTCCTCTCGGAATAATATTCCACACAGGACCAGGACGCTTGGGATTTGGATACAAAGGCAGATTTGTAAAGGAGCTGATAATGAAAATTAAACCATCCTGCTATGTTCTATATAATTATTTTAAACCTTACAGACAGTGGCGTTCTCTGAGACTGCAGTTTTGTTTTCCAAAAAATCAAATCCAAAAATACAGTTTCTAAATGGGTTTTATTTTTTCTTTAATATTAATCCTCTCCAGGTAAAGATTTTCAGCTTCGTCCCTTCATTCTAGTTGTGCAAAATGTACATTCTACGGTATTTGCGATAAAAAGACCGATTTGGTTTTTGCAATCGCTGGGAGTGCTTTTGGGACCCAAATCGCAATAATCTCATGCCATCCGAGCGCGAAGCCTCCACACCAGGTTTCCAGCGGGGGATTCGAGATCCCTGGTCACGGATACGTCTTGTCCCTATTTCTTTAGCGGGGAACAGCGCGCTCCCTTGTCTGCGTTAGCACATGGCCCTGCCTGTGCAAACTGCGCCATCCCCTTTTGCCCGTTTCATTTCTTTTCTTTGTTTTGCGAGTTCTGTAAACTGTAAGTGTTTTTTGTATTGTCGTGTTTATTTTGGATTTGTTTTTCCGACATGTGCCTGATCTGGAGAAGAAAGGATGGCCTTAAGTAAAAGGCAAAAAATTGGGGATATTGAACACATGCAGTTTCAGAAAGAAGACATCTAGGAATCGAAAAAAAATGTTTTAATCTGCACGTTAATTTTTTTCCCCCGTTGTCTGCAAATTGCTGTTGAAATTTCCCATTTCCATGGGGATTAGGCAAATGATTTCTACAGTTTTTTTTTCTGTGAAATGATAAAATTCTAAAACATTTGTTCTCCTTACTAAAATAAAAGATGAAAAAAAATCAACCATGAGGTTATTTTCCCGTTCTGTGATGGCCACGCTATGTTGGCGGCTCAAAATTCAAAAACACCTTTGGCTTTTAAATTTTTTCTAGCGTCTTTTTTTTTTCCTGAACAAAAATACAAAGAAGCGAGGCTTGAGCTGAAATCGCGTGCATGAGCTCGCGTTCTGAGCAGCAGGATGTGGATTTGTGCGCAAGGTGTTTGTGACCTGCGTGGTCTGCATGGTGAGGAAATAGGGTGTTCAGCACCTTGAGAGGGGGGTTGCTGTCAGCAGCCCAGCTGACACTGGCGCTGGCTGGAGGTGTTGTGCCCGATGACCTGGACAGTCCGTGCAGCTGCCGGGCGTGGGAGGCTCACACGAGCCCCGTTACCACTAAGGCAGCATGGGCAGGGTGGGCGCCCGTCGCTGGTTTTATTGAGTCGGCCCGCAGGGTGGTGGTGGCGTGGGGAGATAGCGGTCCTAAAAAGTGGCGCCTTGCTAGACATCGGGAGGGGGCTGCTGACTCGGGGCCCTGTCAGGCACAGCCGCAGTCTCGGGGAGCGCAAGAAGACCCTCGCCAAGATCCCTGCTTGGCGTGGGAAGAACGCAGCAGGCTCAGACCGAATCGGTTGCCACCAAGCCACCCGATCACTCAACAGAGCGATCCGTTGATCGATCGATGGGAGGACTGACTGAGTGATCGATCGGTCGATCAGTGCAGGGCACAAAGCAACGTAGAGGTCTGTTCTGTCTGGGAGCCTCTCTAGTGGTAATTCACAAGGTGGGATCCGCTTAGCCACACAGGCGGGGGGGGTCTTTGCCAGCGCGGCGCTATGCTCTGTAGCCGCCGTTTTTCCTCCTCGCACTCATCCATTCGTGTTCCGGCCGGGTTTTCTGAAGCCGGAGTGGGGGTGGGACTGGTTTGGGGTCCGGTCAAGTTAGGGTGGGGGTGGGCAGGGACATATATTTAAAATAGGCAACCGTGTATTTTTTGAGTAGTTTGCCTCTTTTGTTCTTGATCTAAATAGGGGAGCAGCTGTTAGTTTCAGGGTCTAGTGGGATTTTGGGGTTGTTTTTCTCGTGGCACTCTCTGCCAACATACCATAATGCGAGTGGAAATGTGTGTGTGTGTGGGGGGGGGATGGTGAGAGGAGGGGGGGGGCAATGGGTGTGTGTGCTGGCTTGATGAGGTGGAGGGAGCAGTGGGGAGGGAGTGATGTGTATAAAAAATTCATATCCTCTGGACTTTGCTTACTTATTAGATATGAACTTGTCGATTTGGCAAATTGCATGCGGTCTGACTGAACAGCAGAGTATCTATCTCTCTCTCTTTCTCTCGGGCTCTCTCTCTCTTTCTCCACCCCCCACCGCCCCCACCTCCCTTTTCAGTGCGTGAAGCCAGCGTATTGGCTGGGCAGGAGGCGTCTCTTTGCCAAATAGGTGGGTCCTACACATGTTGGCAAAGGCACAGGCAATGGTTAGGGAAAGAACGTGGAAGGAAAGAGGGAGAGAGAGGGAGAGAGAGCGAGAGATAGAGAGAGTTGGAGAGAAAAGGGGGAAAAAGAAGAGGCAGTCGGGTTTGCCAGCGGTCTCGCACGCTTTTCCAACATTTATTCGCTTCTCTCCTTTTTGCACAATCTGAGATCTGCACCCCCCTCCTCTGTTTCTTAGGCAGGCCGCGAGATCTGAGCAAATATCACTTGCTGTTCTGCCAAGGACTTTTGCTATTTTTATTTTGGAAGCGAAAAGAAGTGCTTTTTTCTTTCTTTTCTTTCTTTTTCTGTTTTTTTTTTTTAATTTTCGTGCACGAGCCGCACGCCTTTTTTTTTTTGTGGGTAATTTCTGTTTTTTCCCGCGTTCGCCACCAGTACTGCTGCCGGTGCTACGAAACTCGCCCCCCCCACCTCACCCCAAGTCTTTCTCTCTCTTTTTTTTTTTTTGCCGTGGACGAGTCGGGCTTTTTTCCTGCCCTTTCACTCTCTCTCATTTTTTTTTCCCATTTTTCTGTTCCCTGGTTTTCCCAATAAAACCAGCGGTAGTTGTTAGTGGAAAACAGAACGGGTGCGGGATTTTTTTTTTTACTACCGACGTGCCGAATTTATGATGAAAGTGCAAAATGGTAACTACCAGTCTGTCTGTATCTCGTCCTTCTGTATTTTTTGTCCTTTTTCATTTTTTTTTAAAAAGCCTGCCTATTGAAGGAAGCAGGGAGCATCTAAGAGGCTAAAGTTGCTGACAAAAAGAGCAAGGAGAAAAATAGAGTAGGATTTTTTATAAAAAATTAACCCTTCTTCTGCTGCGGGTTCGTTGATGCCGAAGGAATCGTCTGGTAAAATATTTTGGCACGGCGGCAGTGTAATGCGATGTAGGCATGTATACAGATCGCAGTGTAGCCAGGTGCTGTGTTCTGCGGTAAGCAAGGGTCTGGTGTTGTATGGACTCAGAAATGTTTTGGTACGGTCGATCTTCTCATTTATTTTTAACGAAAAATGAAAAGCTTTTTTCTTTTTGCCTTCTCCATTTGTCTCATTTAATGTGAATCAGTTTCCGCGCTAAAGAGGTGGTTTTAAATTGGTTAAAACATCCGATGATGTCTTGCCGTCAACTTTCCCAGCACTCTGTATATTTAGAATTTGGATTCGGCGTGTTGAGGGTGGACGGACATGCTAGTTTGTTCTTTTTGGGTAATGAGATTTGTTTTCTGATACCGTTGTATAAAGAGGTTCTCTGGTTTTATCTCCGTGTTCATGTAATATAACATCGGCACGGATCTGCGTGTCCTTACATCTGCATAGATGCAGAAATAATTAACTACATAAATAGATCGTGATGTTCTTCTGGCTCCGGCGTAAAATCGGCGCTGATTTTGCAAGGTTTGTTTTCCGTCTCCCGGCCTTAACCCTGTTTTCGTTTTTTGTCTTCCACCCCCCCCCACCTCTTTCTCCCTCTCCGTCCGTATGTCTGCTTGTGTACCTCTCTCCCCCCGCAGGATGAATTCCATCCCTTCATCGAAGCCTTGCTTCCCCATGTGCGTGCCTTCTCCTACACCTGGTTCAACCTGCAGGCCCGCAAGCGCAAGTACTTCAAGAAGCACGAGAAGCGCATGTCGAAAGACGAGGAGCGCGCGGTGAAGGACGAGCTGCTGGGCGAGAAGCCCGAGATCAAGCAGAAGTGGGCGTCCAGGCTGCTGGCCAAGCTGCGCAAGGACATCCGCCCCGAGTTCCGCGAGGATTTTGTCTTGACCATCACCGGCAAGAAGCCCCCCTGCTGCGTGCTGTCCAACCCCGACCAGAAGGGCAAGATCCGGCGCATCGACTGCCTGCGCCAGGCCGACAAGGTGTGGCGCCTGGACCTGGTGATGGTCATCCTGTTCAAGGGCAGCCCCCTGGAGAGCACCGACGGCGAGCGGCTGGTCAAGTCCCCGCAGTGCTCCAACCCTGGCCTCTGCGTCCAGCCGCACCACATCGGAGTCAGCGTCAAGGAGCTAGACCTCTACCTAGCCTACTTCGTCCACACGCCAGGTCAGTGCGCGCACGCACGCACACACACACACACACTCAATCACCGGTCTGACCGGTCCACTGCCAGTCAGCGCCACTTGAACACCAGCTTGCAACAGAGCGCGCCCAAGAAGCATTGCCCCAGGTGGTTTAATGCTGTCGATCGTGATCTCCCCCTTCTTCCCAAGTTCTGATACGATCTGGAGCGCTGAATTTATTTACAAATCCCATTTCCAGCCCACGCGTTAATAGCCTCTTGTTTTATTTTTTTTCTGCTCCAGTTTATTGTTCTGGAGCGGCTGTGAACGGATTGCCCAAAGTGGAGCTCCGCGGTGCTGTGAGAGTCGCAGCTCTCGCATGGGTAATTGAGGGAAAGGAAGTGCTTCCCTGGTACAGGCAGCCGGGCTCAGAGTGCTCAGGCAGGGTTTTTAATTAGGTTTAATCTGCCCCTGAAAAAATATTTTTAAACGATCGGCATTTTGCGTGGGGGGGGGGTGTGGCACATTTTTGTGGCAAATTCCAGTTTTGAAACTGGTGCATTTATGTTGCATTATAATTTAGAGGATTTCCCGTATGCACAAAAAATAAATGTTAAGAACACAAAATAAGGCATCGTTGCTTTTGACTACTTTCTGCATTCAGGTTTTTATCTAACCCACAGTTCAGACCTTTGAAATTTGTTTATTTTTAATCTTCTTACTGCCAGTGTAATTTGTGTTGTTTTTTGTTTTGAGATTAGTCCAGCAATAGAGTCAGTTTTCCAAGCGGATTCTGGGTTGGAATAAAAACTCCTTCTTCAAATTTAGATTGACCTTTTCTGTTTGTATTGACTGTTGCATGAATAACATTGCACTGTTCTCACTGTACTCATCAGCAGGAATTCAGATAATGATGATAATTTAACTGTTTTGTGTCACAGTAACTGACTGGTACGGCAGAGTGACGAGTTAAAAATGGAATTGACATCTTAGCTGCCATAGTATGTCACTGAAATAAATATAATTAGAGTTTATAGATTTGAATTCAGGACAGGTGTAGGAAGTATTATTACTTCTGATGATACAGTATCTTTTTTATCAGTGCTGGTGTATAACGCAGTTTTCAGACACATTAAGGACCAGCGACGGGCTTTAAACGTTGCTCATTTCTGTGAAGAGCAGTTTGTCTGGGCACTCAGAGACCAGTGGTCAGTCCAGCACTGTCCAGTACGTGAAGTGGTGTGAGGTACTGGCAGTCTGGTTAGTTTGGTTGCCCCTGGTGTTGTTTTCCTCTGCTGGCTCACACGGGCTGTGGCAGAGTCGAGGTGTTCATATGGTGCAGAGCTGAGCCCCTCACTTTTCATGCTTGTGTTTTTATTTAGTTTTGATAATTTCTCATCAATTTGCTCTGTATTTCCAAGGCAGTGAACTGAACGCTTTCTTCCCTGTGGATTGAGAAAGGCTTGCCCTCCCACAATCCCTCTGCTTTCTCCCCCATTAGGCTGGGAGAAAGACCCGATTCCTTGTAGGTAAACAGATCCTACAACTCAGAAAACCCTGATTTCCTGCAAAGGGAAAGATAGCGTGCCAACAGGGGAACAGAAAGGCCGTCTCCACCAGTGAGCGAGCAGTGGTGTGCGCTCGAAGTCTTCAAGAGTGTTCCTGGCAAAGGGTCCCTTTTTGCAAAGGCAACGAGGGCTAAACACACACAAACAGACACAGAAACCGCTGCACGGCACACAGTGGTCCCGTGAAGACAATGGGTTGTGGTAGCGGCGTGTGTCCGGGGCTGGTCTCTCCCGACCCCCGTGAGAGCAGCCAGTTCTGCTCTGTTTGTGCTCCGGGCGGGTGTTGTGTCCGGAGGCGCTCTCTCGGGCTGAGATGGCTGGAGGTCTGTGAGGGAACCGTGTTCACTGTCCGACCGATAGCTTGCCAAGTGCTGCGTCTCCAGTTCTGGCAAACGATAATCTCGTTGAGCACATAAACAAAACGGCACGAATGCATCTCGGTTCCTTGCAGTGGGCGCTGACATGCATTCAACTGGAGAGCTAAAATCTCCAATCTAAACGTAAATCTGATGCAAACCCCCAAAGATTAGACAACAGGGTTTATTTAGAAAAATAAACAATGTAGGATTTTTCAGCACTGAGCAATTTACAAGTCTAGAAAATTAATATTGACTTAAATAATATTCACTTCAGTAATAGGCTTTATTTGCAGAAATATTTTATTCCCAGTCGGTATTTTGACAGTTTGCTAAATCATAGCTGTAATGGATCAGTCCCATTTAGATGAGCATATTCTTCTATCCTCTCAACATATTCTTTGCAAACAAAGTATTAAATATGTCAGATTGTAGAGAAAATGTAAATATGGTATTAAGCAGTCTTGCGATGCCAGTTTTGGAATGTTTCTGTTCTTTATCCTGGTAAACATCTGAATAACTGGCTTTTTGTTATTTTAGCAAATAGAAGCACTTTTTTGTATTTTTGAAAACATTTTGTGGAGCAGTAGGAGGAGAAAGGGACAGGAGAGACACATTTCTTTCTGGAGGCACTGTCTCTGCTAATTCCAGTCATTCATAAACAAAATAAACCTAAACTAAATGAGACGGTCGAAGTCCTGGAAACATTTTATTTAAAAAAAAAGATGATTTGGAGAGAATCATTTCTTGTGTGTCTCTGGGCTTTATGAAATCACGGCTCAAGTGCTCCTGTGCATAGACTAAGAAAAGGAAGTGATTTTATATTAGGTTTTGATTTAAAAAAAATAAAAAAAGGACTTATTGGCTTTATCTCTGCAGAGGATGAAGGATTGTGTTCGCGACAAAGGATTTCGCATTCACAGCCTGCTTGGAATAAAAATCGTTGTCCATGGTGGATCGTTTCTGTCCTCACCGGTTCCGCAAGGACAGATGATTATGGGATGCTAGCAGTTGTGTGTGTCTGTGGGGATAATGGGCTGGTGGTTCTTCCTTTTGTGTTGTGGGCTGCGTTAGCTACAGGACAGCTTAGCCAAGGAGGGTGTCATCTTGAGAGCGCTCTAGTCGACTGGGCAGGGACTGCATCAGGATGGAATCGGATAGTGGCATGGCTGTGGCAAGGGTTTCGGTGTAACCTGACAAAATCTCGATTTCGGAGAGCACCCGCATCTTTGCCGGCTGCTGGACATTCGTACCTACGAGGTGGGGTGGGGTTGGGGTACGCCCTTCATTCCAGTGCAGAAATATCCCGAGCTCGGAACATTCTGCGTGGGAAAAGTAGTTTTGCAGGCTTTTTTGGGGGAAAAATGTATATCGATCTCCTGGGGGATGCACTTTGTGTTTCTCCGAGATAGGCACCTGCCGATTCAGATTTGGGGGTGCCGGTAATGGGCTCTTTTTTTGGCATGGGTTCCATGGGCGAAGAGAGCACCCTTTTGTCGAATTGCAGACACATCACTGACGTCCTTTGTGCTGCAACACGAACTGTATAGAGGGACTGATAAACAGATTATTCCAGTGAAGTGGCAGGGCCTGGGGCCATTCAGATGATTCCTTTCTTAATGAAGAGGCGAGATCTAAAGACGGGGCTTTACACAAGTTTCCCTGAGTGTCCGCCTTCCCGTCTGTCCATCATCATATCTGTCTGCAAGTACAAAACCTCAGTCCGGAGTTTTGGTAGGATTTGTGGAAAGTGTGGGATGGAAGAAAACACTTGCTAAATATAGCCAGAAAAAAAAAGTTTATTTCTAGGGTTCAGTTTTTAAATGTGTTTTTAAAACGTATTCTGTCATTAACCTTTAGACAATATTCCTCTTTCATTTTGGAAATCACTTGCCTCTCGATCGGAATCGGAATAAAAGTCTCTTCCTGACTAACTTGTTCTTTGTATTTGCATATCGTGCAGGTGCTGAATTTTTGAAAATGCAGATAAGAGCTAGGAGAACATGGGCATGTAAATTGGCTGTAAAATTAGACCTACACAAATCTGCAATGACATTTTTTTTTTAATCCATTAAATATGGGGAAAAAAACATTACAGAGGTAGGCCTCTGAGGTTCATGTTAAGTAAAAAAAATCTTTCTGACTACCTGTCTTAATCAATATATAAATGAAGGCGTACAGGTCGGTTCTCTGATCTCCACGCATCCCCGTGCCGCGCAGGAGCCGGCCCCGAGTACGGAGAGAGATTTTTATGTCGATCGCGGACAGAACAGCAAAAGTGAGTGAGTCATTAAAGCGAGCTTCAGTGAATCTGTTTCTCCTTGAACAAGGCTCGCAATTAGGAAACTGCCTCATGAAAGTGGATAAAAAGAACTGGACTGGGACTGGAGCTGGGCTGGTGAGGGAGGAGGGGGCAGGCGAATTGTCTTTCTTCAGACAGTGTCTTCTCAGTACAGGGCTTCTTCTAGTCGTTTGTGTGACCGCCAAGTCCCCATCACCAGAGCCACAAACTGTCAGGGCACAGAGACTGGGGGCACCGGGGGGACCCCGCCGCAAGGAGACGGCACACTCGAAAACCCTTCTGTACCGTGAAGGGCACAAGGCTGCTGCGGCCAAAACACAAAATGTTGTTTTGTTAATGGCCGGTGAGGCGGCGGTCTCGCCAAGGAGTTTCTTCTCGGGCTCATCTTTGTTTTGTTTTTTTACTCCTGACGTCCGACAGATTCACGTCCTCAGAAATGTAGCTTACAAAAAAAAGTCCCCTTACCCACGAAAAACAGTGCGAAGGGGGAGAAAAAAAAAGAAAGCCGAGGCAGGGAGGAGAAAATGGACGCAGTGTGTGAGCTGGCAGCTGTTGGCACCCGCAGCCCTCGCCCCGCTCGGAAGGTGCCAGCGCTTCAGACTGCCCGGCCTCCTCTGCCAGCCCTGCCTCCGTCTTCCCCGTCCTTTCTTTCCTCTTTTCCAGCAGTGAAAACCACGAGTTTTCGCAGTTTCAACGGCTTGTGCTCGAAAGGCAGCAGGCCGAGGCTAAGGCAGCGCGTGAACGCGAGAGGGCCACTCGGGCCGGGCTGTTTCGCCTGCTGCTCTGATACTCGAAAAACCCACGAAAAAATCATTTT